CTTCACTTGCTGGATAGAGACTCACAATGCACATCTTCACTGCAGGATCTAGGCCAAAGTTAGTAATAGTCTGCCATAGCTATAAAGCTATTTTAAGAAATTACTTGGGTTTTATAAAATAATATTTTATTATAGCCCCTTAGGGAAGATTTGTCTTGTACATTTACAGTGCCTGTTATCACTGTTCTAATACCTAATTGGAGCCTTTAGGCACTATAGTATTAATAAGTGATAGAAGGGGTAGTGGCCTCATGAAATTCAAGGGTAATAGGAAATTTTTCTGTAACAATCTTTTTCTGAACAGTTGTTGATTTAAAAAATCATAAATATTACAACCTCTGCTCTTTTATTTTTAAAAGCAAAGTTGTGTAAGGCTTACTGGCAGGCAGCTAAATGGATTGTATTTCATGAGACCACTCAACATTGCTATGGTTGCATGACGTTATTTATCATAAAGAAACCCAATGTATTTAATTTTGAAAATGTTCTTTTAGCTTTGAAAAATTCTGTCACATCCACATTGTTTTAGAAAGTGCAAGTGAAAAATATGCATTTATTAAGATGGTAGCATAGATTTTGTTCAGAGTTAACCTTGCTGAGAAGAAATGGAATTTTTCAGTCAAACTCAGCCCTTACATATGCTACCAGAATTTTAACATTTTTTCCTACCTCATTGATGCTGAAAGATTTTTTTTAAAAATACTGTTTCATTAGGGAATAAGAAGGTTTGCATTGACATTGAAGTCATCTATCAAATTCTAGAAAAAAGGCAGAAAAGGAATTATTCAAAACATTAGAGGCAAAAAATAAGAGGAAACTCCCCTCCATATCCTAATGCATCTTTCATCTTGCTTTATTACACATAAACATAAAAAAGTTCAGGCATCTTCAATTTTTCTCACTGACATCTACAAATATCAAGATTATCAAATTTTAGACAATTTAAAAGCACAGATGATGGTTCCTGCCCTGAGATCTCACAGTCCAAGCAATTCCCCAGTCAGCTACAAAAGGACTGGAGCACCAAGAGAGCTCAATGCTGCTTCAGCTGTCACCAGCCAGCACAGCAGAACATTTAATGCCTGCAGGAGCTGGTCATTTTCACAGACTCCGAAAGATACAACTTCCACCCACTCATGACATGCAAACAACTAAATTTCCCATGGCTTAGGACAGCACTACAATCCTGGATTCCCTTGTAAGAAGGGAAGAAAGAAACTTGTGGCGCTTTGATTTGAAAAGCAGCCAACATTGCGCTGTGTTTGGGGTGCAAAGTGCCAGTTTTAGACAAACTGTGTGCCTGCAGCTGGGGTACCACCTTTGGGCACTGACACAGCAGATAGCATGGAGAAGTCATGAGCTCCTCAGCTGGGGGTTGGTGTGTGCAAAGAGAGAATTGTGAGTTTATTTTGAAGTCAAAGATACTTGGAGAATTTAGGTGTCTGTGATGTTAAACAGAATGGAGATTTTTTTCTAATTCATGTTTTAACTTATAGCCTTTAATTTCTCCTGAATCTTTCTAAGTCTAGCTCAAAGTTATTGCCCACCTACATTGAAAGGGCACACTTTAGGATATCTCTCCTTAGAGTTTTCTGTCTTGGTTTAGTCAGGAATCAAAATGGGATATGTGCTGGTCTACTTTTTCACACAAAGCCAAACAAGATCTTAAGAAACACTTGAGAAGTCCTAAAATGCCAGTTGTGATTACACGAAGCTTCTGGCTGACAGAAACAAGACCAGAGGTTCACTTGAAACATGAAAAAAAATTCTAATTTTAAGATTTATTTACAGTTAAATTCTTGCTTTAGTTATTTGATTAAATAATAGAACCAAGGGATTCATTTTCTTAGAACAAGGAAGTAAGAAAATTACTAAATGTGTCGATTTTCTTTATATTTTTATTTCCAAGCATCAAAAGCTTGAAGTTTTTTTTTAGTAGATCTATCTGTGTATCCACACACCAGGGCCTTATTACAGTACTTGAGACAAATTTTATCCTGTGGCTAAATGTGTAAGTGTTAAAAGGGAATGTAAATTAATTTAGGAATATAATGCTAAAATAATATTAGTCTGAATGAATATGAACAACATAAAAAGGAATCAAAGGTTAGAGAGACAGGTGATTCACTGAACTACAGGTTTACATTTCATTTAGATCACATTCCCAAGCCCAAAAAAGCAGCAGCACCTGCTAAGCATCACAGGACATTACACAGCAATTAAGTAACAAGAATGTGTTATACAATAATAGGAAATATGGGGAAGCAGAATGTAAATAAGTGAATTTGAATTTTGTCAGGATTTCAAAATTGCTTGTTAGTATTGGAATAGAGCCATGGAAACTTGAATAACCACAAGCAGGTTTTGGTCATGGCTTTTGTTTCATTTCTTATCCAGAAGTTGGCATTCTATCAGCCCTCTAATTCCTTGAACATTGACTCTTTATTGATAGTAATAAAACAATGCATCATTTACTCCATTTCCTCCATCACCTCAGTTCCCATCACTTTTATTCTATCATGAGTGAATCTCATGCTGCTCATCACATCAGCATAGCACAAGTGTCTGTAAGCCTTTGCAACAGAATAATTTAAAAAACAAACCAAGAAATTATTTGTTGCAGAAAAAAGATAGGTAAAGTAACTGAGAGAAAAACAATCCAGAGTGTGTTTCCACTGGGATGCTTGGAATCCTATAAAAATATTTATTTGAAAGGTGATAGAGGAAAGACCAAGAATGGATAAAAATATGCAGTACAGCATTCATGTAGAAAGGACCCAAAAATTTTTACCTTCACACACAATGAACTAATAATACATCAGTGTTAGAGGTGAGATAGTCTTGGTCCATAAATAGGCTCATGTAAGGCACTGGTGATATCAAAACACAGAGAATAAAACAACAAAAGCAAAGTTGTTCAGGTTTGCTACCAATCACTGGATAAAACTCAGTGCAGAAACAGACTCTGAGCAAAACCATCCTGGTGTTATTTAACAGACTGAGCTATCTCTTAAGGAAATGTGGAAACTGAGTCATTCTGGACTGGAGTAATTAGAGCAGGGAATCATATACTGGAGGAACAATACTGTGTTAGAAAGAACTGACAAAACAGGATTTCCATATCTGCTATTCTGCATCAGTACAATCAGAAACACCTCTGTACTGCTTTTATATTAAGAAATCGTACTGTAAGAAACCTTCAAATATCATTGCATTGCTTCCCTACTGCTTACATTTCTTCAGCACATTCACATTTATATATAATATCTGAAATCAAAAGGGGTCTGAGCACTTCAGTCCTCACAGGGCACCAGGTTTCCAAGAAGTTGTATTGAACTATTCATTGAAGTAAGGAAGTCCTTGAAGTTAGAGACCTCTTATACAAAATGTGGCTTTATTTGCTTTAGCAGAGACCAATGTTAAATTCTGATCAAAACTGAGACTATTGCTCTGAAATCACAAGCAAATAATAATAAGCTATCAGTGGGGAGGGGAATAATTATCACAAAAATATCAACAGAGAAATAAATTATATTTGAAGAGAAAAAACTCAAGTGTTTGATTTTTCTCAATACTGAGGCAAGTTTTCCTCCAATGAATACTGCAGGGTTATTGCCAAATAATACAAAGTCCCCTTTCCCCAGGAAAATCATACCTACAAGGGAGTACATGTCAGTGTAAATTTCTGATGACCACCAAATACAGCTCCAGCTGTTACCAGGTCCCTCTGCTGCTTCAGAGAACATATTGAAATTGTTCAGAAATCCTGCTGATGGCACATATATTTTAATGTTCTAGCCTTCATCTCTTCATGCTGTTTATTTACTTGTGCAGTAGCAAAATAACAACACTTTTGAATGGTCAGCCAAAGGAGAAGCAGATTTTTTTAACTTTGTGCCTCCTGAGGTCTCACAAGGGCAAGGTTCAGGCTGCAAAACTGCACTGAAAATTGAAACGCTGTCCTGCAGAAGCCGAGCAGAAAGTGCAGAGGGGATGGCAGCTGCCTTCTGTCCCACAGACCCAGGCATGGAATGCAGGGCTTTCAGGAGCCACCCTCTTTCTCACACACGTGGTTCCAAGATACACTGGGAGGACATATTTTCGGATGTTGATGCACACATGCCAGTGCTTCTCAGTGTTTTTCATTCCTCAGACACATGAGAATTCTGACTAATTTACCAGCATGCCTTGCATCAGGGAAAAAGGGAGAGAAAAATGAAAAATGTAGCACCCTGAAAACAGACTTTTTTTCAGGTAGAGAGATAGTTCAAGTTTTACTTTTCTATCATAGAAAAAATGTTTTTTCTCTCTGTCATCTCCCTGCATTAAGAAGGCCAAATGAGTCTTTTCCACACCTTTCTGAATTATGAAGATCTCTTAATACCCTCCTCTGTGCTTTTAGAGGTGTCATATTAGTCACTCTCTTCATTGCAGATGAGACAAAATGATAAGTGGATATTCTAAAGTCAGAACATGGCAAGGGTCAGATATGAACAGCAAAAGCAACATGTGCTTGTGCCCATGACAGAGGGGTTGGAATGAATGATCTCTAAATTCCCTTCCAACCATAACCCTTCTATGATTGTATGATTCTGTAACTTCATTAATGGACTTTAAATACACCTTACAGTAGTCATTAATGGAGTTTAGGGTTGTAATGTGGTCAGATAATGCCAGGATGATTTCTGTCAGGATGGTGCTCTGGACATCACCTGATCCAAGTTCCAAATTAAAACAGCTTCAAAAGTACATTTGGTTGCCCAGGGCTTGTCCAGTGGTATTTTGAATCACTGCACTGAAGAGGATTTCCCTTTAGTTTGGCCATCCTTGCTGCAAAGGTCTGGTTTTTCCTTTGCTCTTAGAATAATTTCCCTTGCTGCAGAATGTATATATTCCCTCTTCTTTAGCTGTGAACATCTGAAAAAAAAAGTTTATCTTTCCCATCTGCTCTCCACCTACCCATGAGATAATTGAAGACAGCATTAAGATCCTCCCTTTGCCTTCTCTTCCCCAGGCAGAACAAACTCTGCTCTTTCCTTTATAACTCAGGTGTGGCAGCCCCCCAGCAATCTCACTGATGCTCCAACAAGGTAAAACCAGTTTATCAATGCATTTTTCTGCATGACTCTCCCATCTTGTGACAATATATGGATGGTGCAAAATCAAAGTAGTTATTGCTTTATTATTTCCCTTATTAATCAACTTAATGGCAAGGATTTCCAGCAAGCTGACGGGTTATGTGCTATCATTCAGGTAGTGAATTAAAAAGACATAATAACCTAACCCATATTTCATTGCTTGAGAGTTTATTCTCTTGTAGCAAAAGAGGAAAATAGTGATTTATAATCTGAAAGACAATGATTAAAATAAGAATCTCATTATATAATAAATGCTTAAAATAGACAAAATGTTGCTTTGCCTGTTACCTTTCATCCCTATCACTCACTTACATGGAATCCAATCAGAATGCCAACAGTAGACTAATAGAGAATGTTCCATGAACAGCTAGTGATTCCAATTACTTACTAACTTGTATTTTAAATTACCCATTCCCTGTCTTTACAGGGGAGAAAATCCAAATACTAAATGAAAATTTTTTTCTTACATGAACACACATGATTTAAAAATTAACTATACAGTGTCTTGAACTAATTTTGTAGAGGATTTAAGTGAAGTCATATTTTGTGGCCAAGATAGGAAGTCCATTGGTAGAAATACTAACATGAAGAGCCAAGAAATTCAATTATCACTAACAGCTGTGCAACATTCTGCTAATATCAATAATCGCGAAGTTCAGATAAACTCTAACACACTTCCATCTTATTCCTGAATTCCTTCTGTAAAAACAAATTTCTGTCCCTGTTGCCTTACAAGCACAAAGTTGCATCTATTATTTTCTGCCCCCTTATTCCCACTTTAATTTCATTTCCCACTTCAAAACACTTGAAATTGTTGTGTCATTTACTGTTATGTGTTGTTTCCTTAAAAATCCTTTGGAGAGCTCATATCTTCCTTAACTTAAAAGTGTTTTAGAAACTGATCTTCTCTTCTGCCAGGTAGATGCCTTCTTCTGTTGAAGTATGTCTAATGTCTTTGGTTTTTCCAGTAATTCTGGACTTTGCTTTAATACTTCCTATGCATTCTTAGTGGCCATCATGTTTTCTAAGACATCATACCCATTTATGTCATCTGTCTTGGTCCTTTTGGAAAGAAAAACCTTCAGTGTTAAGTTGAAGTGCTGTGTAACTAAAGTAACACATACAGCAACAGCAGCAAATGTCAATAAAGAAAACATTTTAAAGCAGTGGAATTACAGGAATGAATACAAAAATTATATGTATTTGCAAATCTTACTTGCTGTTAAGCATAGCAGAAATGATTCAAGAAAATATTATTGCTTTTAAAGGGCCCCATCTGCTTCTGAATCTTATGGTATCAGGCCTGAACGCAGAAAACGTAGCTGTTTCCTTAAAACTCAGAAATTCCAATGTCCAAAAGCCTATTGTGAGAGGAATTATTTTTAAAATCCTTTTTAAACTATTATTCTCTATGCTTTTCTTGTAATTTGTACTGTTTTCCCAGTGTTTCCTAACCTCCTCTCTTAATATGGAAGCACAATTGGAATACTGAATCACACTCCAGAATGGCAGCGATTGGTGTGGATGTGGTGTTAATTGAGTTGGGAGACATTCCTTACCAGATGGATATGGATGTTTGTGAATGCATAATGGCCCTTTAAGAAGCTTAAGAGAAAAGTATGAAACCTTTTACAAGCAGCATTCCAAAGCAGGACTGCCAAAAGCAAGTGCACATAAATAGCTCTGATAATTGGAGCCGTATTCCTGCCCTCAATCCTGCAGCAGAGCAGGGCTGCTGACCACACACCATGGCTGGATTAGCCACCTGGGCTGGCGCTCAAGTTGCCCTCATCTTCTACCAAATACCAGAAATTCAGGGTCATCCTCTCAGCCAGAGCTTTGGTATTCATTTGTCACCGAACAAAATTTCCCACTTTCTGCACACAAGTGGATTTTCAGATCCCACATTTGTTTTAAAAGCAGCTGCAGGTTGGTACCTGGCCCCACAGGTACACATCTTCTCCAGGCACAGCAAGTCCTGTCCCCAAATCAAAAAAGGGGGAAGATGACATTAAATCCATCAGAACAGAGGTGACTCAAGGAACTGACACCTGAATTTTACATTCCTCTGATTCTGTGTTGCAACAGCAGTTTTGATGAGACTCTGGTGAAGAGCCATCTATGTAATACTACTCATTATCTATTTTCTTTATCTAAATTTTAAAAAACATGTGTATGGCATATGTTTCTCATCGCTAACTATGATCTTTGTTTATTTATAGTTTTAGAACCTCTGACTACTGCCAGACACTATTAAAAATAAACATTTTAATTGTTTTCATGTTTTATCCTCCCCTCCCCTTTCCACCCAAATCTGACAGGATGAAACATTGTTTTTGCTTGGGATATAGCTGCTTCTGCTGCAACAAGAAAAAGGACTAGAAGGAAGTTGTATACATATTGTCAGAATAGTTTCATATTCAACAGTCTGGAAACAAAGCAAGTGCAATCTCCCAGCCCTCTTTAAGATGAATCTCCCCATCCCCAGGCTCTGCCTTCAGCTGAGGGTGCAGAAATGAGAACTGAATTGCTCTTCTGCCTTTAGCTCAGCCAAACTTAGCTCATTCTTCCCAGCAACGCGGCCCCAGTGTGAGAGGCCATCTTCATTTCCACATAAACAAATAGCTGGACTGTTCAGTGGAAGGTGGGTTTTGTTTCCATGGGCCTATGAAAGGCCTTCTGCATCAAAAATTAATTGCTTTTACAACTTTAAGCGTTTTGAGTTTGTTTGCTTTTTGCCATTTGTGTTTTTGTCTATTTTGGTTTGGTATTTTCTTGCACAGGTTTAAGCATTTAATTACAGACCAAGTGCAAAGGTGTACAAAATACCAGAGAAAAGTTAAACCACAACTTTTTCCAGTCTTTCTGATCAGCTGTCTTTTGTGCTCCATTACACAGACCAAACTTTTTTGTTTTGGGGGTACAAAGCCCCATGTTGAGGGAAACTTCTTGGCACCGTGCATTTTACTGCATGAAATCCATCACTTTAACAGCATTGCAGTGCCTAAATCTCTTAAGCAAGATGCTGGGAAAACAGATAATTAAGGGTGCTAATTGAAGGTGCTTCTAACTCTCTTGCAATATCATCTGCAATTCTAGGTGTACATACCAGAAGAAGTAAGTTCTTTTTTTGGTACCTGACATACCTTCTTTTCTGGAGTGTTCTACTTTCCCAGCCAACAGCAATGATCAATGTTGGAGAGAAACTGACTGAAGAACTGATTTGGCTGAATCAGTTTCCTAGTTTGAAAAGGGACTATGTGTCACAGTTTTTCTTTATTCCATTTGACTTTGTTTGAAGTTAAATCTCCTTAGGCGAAGCCATTCTTAGTAGGTGTGCCTGGCACAAGGACCCCAGAGAGCTGGGTGCAGTTTTTGCCAAGCAGGATAGGAGCAGCATCACATAACATAACATGCTCAGAAATGAAAAACAAAGAACACCAAAGAACTCTCTCATCTTTGGGGGAAAGGAAAAAAGCTTAAAAAACGACAAAGAATGTAGCTAACCCTCATCCTCCGTTCCTGTGAGGGTTTCCAGATTTTCCTTCTTCTGCCTTTCATTCTCATGATGAGGTAAAATATCTCCACAGTTAGAAGTACCAGGTGAAGGAAAAGCAGACACATACAACTAGGATATTTAGGGGCAGCCTGTCAGACGGTGAATCAGTACAGTTCTGATAAAAAGAGGCCACTAAAATGCATCTTCTCTTTAAAGATTAATCTTATTCTTCCCAGACAAAGAGGGAACAAAAAATATTCTCAGCCCTTGGTAAAAACTAATAATTAGTGAGTGTATGTGTCTATCTGGGGCAGTGGAGGTGTCCAGAGAAGTCAAGAATGGAAGTTTTTTTCATGGGTCTTGATGTGTCTGGGAAACAGATAGAAAACAGGGAGGGAACAGTTAAAACAGAGAGATCACAAGTTCTTTCTTTGCCCACCTTTTCTTTGGTTAGGATGACTTCTGATCTTTGAACATAAATTCCTTGCGAATATATTAATTTATTTCTTTGATCTTTTTCTGCTCTCTGTGTTAGATCCCTTCATTCAACAGGCTGCAAGTGAAATTTCTGATTCCTCCTCTGTCTCCAGCTGTATCTTGATGGCAGAAGTGAAACCAACCTTGCCTTCAGGTAGGGAATTCCATGGCCTGAATGAGAGGTCTGTGTTTCAGAGGTGTGTTCCTCCATCCTACCCCAGCTGGTGCCACTGCACCTCGTGCCTCATTCGCTCCAGGCACAGCAGTCACACTGTGCTGATTGAGCAGGGACCTGCCCATGCCGACTGAAAAGTGACAGTCTCACCTCAAAGGGAAGAGTGATGGAAAATCTGACTGCAGAAGTTTCCAACCTCAGTTCCACCGTGCTTGGGAGCTGCTGCTATGTTGAGGTAACAGAGAAGCTTTCAATTTCCTGAGAAACTGTGAAAATCAGGTGGGTGTCTTCATGTGCGGATGCTACTGTTCACAACCCCTGTCCCAAATGCAGAGTGGATATACTGAAACATGTACAGCTGGAAAACCAGCAAGGCTCAATGCAGCCTCCTGATTCCCTGTTCACAGATGAGCAAAGCTCTGCTTTTGTCTCCTGACTATACCACCATAATTTACAATCCCAATTCATAACCCAGAATTACTACTGAGTATTTAAATCACCCAGACAAATAAAATATTTCTAAGTTATGGTGTCATTTAAATTAGTGACAGTATTTCCACTGAACTTGCATAGCCAGACTTTCACCTACTAAATCTTGACAAAATTAATAATAAGCCATAACAAGTAATCACTTATTAGTAATCAGGGACTTCAATGATGTCCTGACAGCTTGATATTCTGCATAAGAGAACTCTAAGGGTTTCCTGAATTTTGTCCAAAATAGAAATAAAATACCACAGCCATTCAGGAAAAAAACAAAAAACAACAACAATTAGATACCCAAACTCTAGTTTTTTTGTGTTTGGGGAGAGACCTAATATTTGTCAGAAGCCTAAGAAAATAACATTGGATGTTTAATACTTCTCATTAGTTGCAAATAAATCAATTAGTTATGAACAGCTCTGACTCTCCTTGTAAACAGTCTAAAAGCTACACATACTGATTTTAGAGCCAGGGTAAAAGTTCTCCTGCTTTATTTATAGAGGTGGAGAGAGACAAGGATATCCTTTGGACTACTGCAGCTCAAAACTCAAAAAGAGTTTCCTGCTTCCAACTGTGTCACTAGGAAACAGGAAAATCAAAAAAGAGTATTTACCAAAAAAAATTCCTCTAGTTTGTATATATTATATCAAACTGCTATTACTGCTGGCCATGAGAAAAAAAGTTTAACAGCTAGTCTTTCTTGACTTTAGGCTATTTATTATCATAGATTTACACTTCTGAAATCATAGTTAACAGCAGAATTCCTCTGTGTTCGAAGCACATTTATAGTCTAGGAATAGCTATTGCCAGAGGAAACAAGCAAGAGGGTCAGGGGACAAGCAAATTAAAAACAAACCCAAAATAACCCAAGGATGTACTGCTTTGGTAAATATAAACTTATTTTCAATGTTATTTTTGCAAAAAGGATGTCTATATTGGATCAATAATAATGTATTTATTAAACTTACAGGAACCCATGAGATATTTATTTTCATGTGAAACAAAGCTCTGAAATCTGTAAAGGTGACAAGGAGACTTAATAATGCATTCCCCACCCCCCAATGTGTGTTAATCCTGATTAATCCCAATTTTAATGATATTTTACAGCCTGAATTTTTTAATTTGTTACCACAACACACAGAAAATACTTAGCAGGGCTGCCAAATTTGTCTAATCCTTCACTCTGAGTAAAACAAAATAGTAGTAGTCAGTGTTTTCTTCTACTAGAGGAAAAATCCTCCTAGCTACCTTTTTCTGAAGATGCACAACTGTATTAAAGCTCTGTAGGAGGGTCACCCACTTGCTTGTTGTTTCAGCATAAGCCATGCATGTGGTATCAGATGGTTTTCAGGAATCCCTTCATTCTGTCATTCCAAAGGGTACCACAGTATAAACACTCGTGGATGTTGGTGAACACCAAACACATGGAAAGACAATTCTTATGAAGAGTTGTAGAAATGTGCAGTATTCTCAAACAAAACAAACAAACAAACAAACAAACAAATAAATACAACTTCCGCCCACAAAACCAACAGCAAACCACAAACCAACCCTCCCCGTGAAATACCACAATACACAACACAAACAGTAAAAAAATCAGTATTGTCATTTGCAGGAAGTCAGGTGCCAGAAAAAAATAAATTAAGAAAACATTGCTTAGCTGAGGCCTGATCTGCAAGGTTCATAGAACATTTGAAAAAGTCATTATACAGGAAGATGTCAGTCAAGAGAGCATCTCTCTTGCAGTCTCAGTTTCAGAAACAAGTACATGGCCACTGCAAGGGTGTCAGATAAGCTCATCTCAGCTGGAAGTGCTGGGCTGAGTCACAGCATTACAGCTTTTCTGCATTTCTCAGTTTGTCCTCTGTAAAGGTTTAACCTTTCATATTTCAAACAGATCTTCAAAGGCATCTTTCTGCCATCACTACTGGAACCAAGTTTCACCCCATGGCTTGATTCTCCTGTCCAGGCTTTCAGTCTGGTACAGAAAAGTATGATCTAAAATAAGTCAAGTGATCCAAACTTCTTTGAATGGAGTAAGTAAACAGTACTTCCTTATCAGGCCATGCTAGGTAGAAAACAGTTTTGTTTGATATTTATAGCTATTGGATACCTAAGTAAACTTATGGTTGGCTGTGATTACTGATCATGAATAAGTTCAAATATTGTCATAGCTGATAAAACTTTTGGATAGTTGTATGGCTAAGTTCTGCTACAATAACAGCTGACCTTAAATAATCATACATTTTTTAATAATCTCTTCATCTAATGTCCGTTTCCTCCTCAGCCCAAGTACTTGTATATTTCAGAGAATGGTTTAAGCATTAGGAATGTGTTTTGAAGCCAATTGTCTTGGGTTTATTTTCATTCTAAGAAAAAACCCACACAAAACCAAAAGAAACTACCACTTTTAAAGGGGACAACTTCAATGTATTATTTCTCCTCTTGTATAATGGACATTTTTGCTGAAGTACTGAAAATCAAGTCAGTGATGACTTTGCTGATATCCCAATAACCTGAGAAATATCTTCAAAGATTCTGAGGTTGAAAAGCAGAGACTGAGCTGGCAAAGGTCAGTGTTGGGCACCCTCTGCTTCAGCAGAGTTGTACTGAAATGCAGAGCATAAAACAGCACAAGGTTGTCTCAGCCTATTCCCCAACATGAAACACAACATCCAGCATATCCAAGAATTTCCCTTATGCCCACCAAGAGACTTTTTAAATTTAATAATCTTCCACAGAAGTTCATAGGTGCATTTCCCCACACTACTTAAGAATCGATTAAAGAGTAAAATTTAAAATTGATCCAGCACTCAATGTAAAAGTAAATGAAATAAAATAGGAGGAATAAGTTTTAAAACTTGCATATTTTTCCTCAGTGTTCTTGAAGTAGTTACAAAAGTGAGACTAAACCCATCAAGAATAGTAATTAAGCCTTTCTTCTCCCTTTTATGTTTTCTGTGATGATTTGAAAGACAGGGTCCATAGAAAAATAAAGGCATTTTCCCTTTAATCTATATAACCTGAACAATCAGGCTTTGCCTTAACTCACATATTTTAATAAATTTGTGGTTTTGTTATTTTAAAATAGTGGGCTTGTGTACAATATGTGTATACTAAACACATGCTTACAAAGCCTCCACATGCATAGTGTAGGCTTTGCTGTCAATTATCAAAATTCTGCAGGCTGATTATGCAAGCTGGAGACATCTGATGCTCCTGTTCATAGGGATTTCTTCACAGGATTACCCAGGAACAGCTCAGAGAGGCCCAAACAGCCCTAGCACATTTAATATTCAGGCAGCAAGTTTGTGAAGTTCCTATCTGTGTAATGTCCCAAGGCAGCCTAGTGTTCTGCTGGTTACCAGAAATTTCTTTTAGAAAGGAGAAGGAAAAAAACTACACTGTGGAAGCCAGAGAAGCAAATGGAAGTTAGTGCTCACAGGGCCCTCAATGGGAATTAAAATAAATGCTTCTTGTCATTCCACTTACAACAAGGACTTAAAGTCTGGAAGTCAATCAGCAAGAAAAGCTTGTCCTTTGCCTATCTTTTTACTTTTTGCTCCTTCTTACTAAAATTAATGATTTCTGAGTATCTAAATTGGTCTGAAGAAAGAAAATATTTATAATACACATGGTGTTTATAATAAAATAGGATTAGTGAATATTTAAACATATAAATCACAAGTGCACTGTAACTATGACACACATGATCTCCCTTACTAATATCCAGAGACTTCCTCAGTGCTGTGACAGGTAGGATAACACAGATTCCTGCTGTCCCCAACCCATTTATTTACTAATGCAAACAGCATTAGACAACTTGCCCTTGTTTTGCTCCGATGGTAAGTAGCTTCATAAGCCCACTGGCTACACAGAGATCATCTTTTTAGATTAGATTACATTTTAAAAAGTTTTTTTGGAGGATCCAATTTTCCACCTTTTCTTTTTCTTTTAACAGAGTAACCTTTCAAAGACACTCAAATCAAGTTTATTTGAACACCAGCAAAATCAAAATCTATCATTGTAATTTCAGTTAACATTGCCCTTCACTATTATATCTGCTTGCACTAGACTTCTTTGAATTTGTGCAGGATACGAAAAGAGAAAGCTTTGTGATACCAGCTGAAAGTCGTTAACTGTTAGTGTAAGAAAATAAATTTTATTTCATAAGAGATTTAGGACTGGAGTTTTTGCAGTTGTAGAATCACTGGGAAATCCAAAATGGTCAGACTGAGCTGTCTTCTCCAGCTTCTCCCCTTACTTTCCATATAGCTCAGAGGATATATATGCAATTGTATCACACCTCTGTCCATTCTCCAGGCCAGACTCTTAAACTAACACATAAAACATCATAAATCCAGGAGTTTTGACACAGTAAATTCACTAGCTTCAGAAAGGTGATACTATATTATTATTATTATATATTATATTATTGATGGTATCATACATTTAGGATATTATGATGAAAATAATTTGCCAAGAAACAACTGGTCAATTTTGGTGTGTAAACTTCTACGCTAAACCCTTCTCAAAATAGGTTAAGGGAGTTGTTAAATAAATGAAGGATGAAAAACAAAATTGCTTTGCTTTGTTAATTCTTTGCAGAAATTACTTTGGGGGATATACATTCAGATGTTTTACAGATAAATGTATTAAAGCACCTCAACAGGACTTGAAAGAGCTGCAATCTATCCCTGGCTAGGAAACCTTGCCACTGAGCCTTCTGTATCTATTACTCAGTTCTGTTAAAGATCAAATTGCCATTAATCGCTTTGAAATTTACTAGGAAAAATACATAAAATAGTTAATTCTATTGCATACTTCATGATTTTAATGCTAATCCTTCTTTCAGTTTGCATATAAAGTTCTCATTGATCTCAGCAGCAGCAGCAGGATCAAGACTTCTGGTAACAATTTTGGAAAGCTAAGGATTTTTTCTGACACCCAAGTAGAAAAGTTTCCGAAGAGCTGACGTAGGAAAGGCCAGATGGAAATTTGTCAATGGCTCTTTCTACATGAGTTGTAAGATTGAGGCTGGGACATGGAGCAGGGCAGTGGATTTATTTTGTTTGCTGGTTTATTTTCTTTTTAAACACATTGCTCTATTGGTGTAGAAGATTCACAGTTTTACTTCTTCCTATCCAGTGTCAACCAGCTGCAGAGATAGCAAATTCTTAACCTACTCTCCTTTAGCATCCTGAAAACTAATATTTTACATGCTGTCTGCCAGCTGAGCCAAACTTATTTTGAAGTGTATCGAGTGATTTCAGAAGCAGACAGTGATACTTCTTTTTATCTTTGGTAATTGGTTGCAGGACTTGTTGTACAAACTACTTCTTGTCCTAATACTGCAAAAAATGGCAACACATTTCTTAATTTTGATCTGGTGTTTGCATAATAGTCCAATGAAAATCCTACCTCCCTTATCAACAAAGTCTGCCTGGAGAACCACTTTCCATTCAACAGTTGGTCTGTCCTGCTTCTCAGTGACAAACCCCATAACTTTCCAAGAAATAAAGCCTACTTACAAATTAGTTTGGTTTTGCTTTGGTTAAGCAGTAGAAAGACAAAACTTGAAGAATGAAATGTAAAATATCTGAAAAAATAATATAGACTAGAATTAAATTATTGGAGCTATTTGACTCCTGGGATGTGCAGGTATCTCCTGGCAGTCATTGGTGGCACTACAGAAATTGTTAAAACCCTTGGATGTGTCAATAACAGTCAGTTTTATAACAAAGACACAGGTGGGAAAAGCAGGATGGGAAAGAGAAATCATTCCAACATTTAAACTACTTTCTGCTCATTGCAGCAGCTCTCCCTGCTCATGACCCATAGATCTTTAAAATGTCTTGTTTAAATATCCTCTAATTTATTTTTTTTAAAAAAAGAGTTGTCAGCTGGCCACAGACCACACATTCCAGAACTGAAGTAGAAAGGAATGTGAATGGGTGGGTGGGGGAGAGGAAGGAAATCAGATTTAGTATTGAAAACAAGACTAAACTGAGAAGCAATGATGTGCACTCAAGCAGTTGCAGTGTGCAAGACTATTTTTGTTTAGTGTACCTCACATTCAGAAAAAGAAGTGGTGAACAGCTTTTACACAGTATTTACACCCACACTCTTACACACTCACTGCATTGTAGGTTCAGCTGTTATCTTAGCCATGATCATTTCTTTTTCTCAAGAAATGTAAGCAGATGTCAGCATTTTCTCTCCAAAGTGAAGGTAACTGCTGTGGAGATTCCTGCTCAGAGCACTGCATATCTCTTCTGCAATCAGTACATGAAAGCAAAATCTAGAAAGTGTTACATAAAAATTTTCCAGTGGAGGCTGAATGCATATTAGATGCTGTTAAATGTCAGTTAGCAATATAGTGTGCATTCTACTGCATGAGCTATCACTGGAGGCAATGCCTTTCACCATCAATCTAAAAATGGTTGTGGTGATAAGATAAAGCTAATACTTACACATGTAGCTCTGGATACAGGGCTCCCTTTTATTTACATGGGGAAACAAATGGCCTCTGCACGTGTGTATATTCCAGACAAGCAAAGAGAAATCTCTTTTCCAGTCCTTGTAGTGGGGCTGGGTTTGTTCTCATTAAGAAATGACCCCACAGCACATGCCTGTGAAATCACATTGATTTTTAATTCGGTCAAAAAGGCAGCACTTGTCTTTCAGAATGCAGATATTGTTGCAGACATAGACAGAACTAGATTAGTTATCTAGGGACTAATGGAAAATTAAATGTCCTTTAAAATGTGTATTAAGTACCACAGAGAGCATGTAATTATAATGACTCACAGCTATTGCTAGTGATAACTCCACAGTGCCATTAGATGAAGAAAAAGAGTTGATAGTGTTCTGGCATATCTTGAGAGAATGAACGTGCATATGTCCAGATTGCTGTTATTATTACCTTAACTATCACTCTAGGGCAGAGTAGCCATGGCCATTTTGTGCTAATCATTGTACAAAACACTCACACAAATCTTTAACAAAAAAAAAACCAACTATCTG